GTGCCTGTCGGTGTATTGGTAAATACGACGCCAACACTTGTGTGATAACTTATACACAGCTGCTGTAGGCTGTTGTTCGCGCTGTACGCTGTAGCTTTGGTGTCAGTTCATGTCCGATGGCGGCACGCTTTCAAAAGCGGAAACGGGGTCATCGGACATCCGATGCGATGATGATCGTGGCACCGGACGGCTGCGCAGTTTCGGTATTTAATTCGTGCGAATTAATGGAAACTATTTGATTCGTTGACAGCATTGCTCTTGAACATCCAACTCGTCTCTGGATGAAGATTCAGCTTAACACTTTTATTAATTGGCAGTTAAGTATTCATATCACTATAGATGTTAAGCGATACTAGATATTGTTAAAGGCTTATTAACGTACCCGGTGTAAGAATCCTTTTTTCCGCAATTCTGCTGAGGCTTATCAGAAGTGGAGAAGTACACTTGAAACATCGAACAAGATTATGTTGTAGCCACGACATGATGCGAGATGGCTGAAATGTTTGTGGCATTGCAGGTGCTGAAATACCACAGTGCCAGGGTTGCTGGCCTTCCTGCATGATTCCCTTGGCGCCTGTAGCAGCAGCAGGACTGTGTAATACGCCTCTAATTGGGTTTGGAGTGGTTAGCTCAAATTTACCTGTTAAGTGACATACTTAAGTCAGAGTCTTTTTGCAGTAGCACACAATCCAGGATAAAACGAAAGAAAGTTGTTTGTAGCCTCTGGAATGTCGCACTTTCGTGCGTGTTCCTGATGAAGTTAATGGTGGGGCGCTGATCTCCATTTTCATCCAAAATTAACTGCAGCTGTGTGAGAAGCATTGTATTCAGGTTCCTGTTTCCTTACCACGGAGTGGTGTTCATTTACTAACCTCAGAAGGAAGGAAGTCGAGTGACCCTGACCGGGAATCGAACCCAGGATGTCTCGGTTCTGAGTCCGGCGCTCTATCAACTGAGCAACCCTGGTAAACCGAGGGTGACTGACTCCACATATATTCCTCCTTTATGCAATGACAAAACCAGTCACTTTATTGTCTTGATTCATGACTATTTCTTCCACGCTTCACAACCAAGAATCTTAGTAAACTTGGACGTCGTGGAAGGAAAATCATTCATTCTAAGAGTCAGCGGTGATCTTCACAGTTTTAGCGGTTAGTGATGATCAGTTCGATGTATGTCTTGTTGTCATTATCGCTACTGACTGGTTGGGCTCTGTCTTCAAACCAAGAGTATAGTTATGCATGAATATGGTATATAATTTATATGTAACAGTGCATATCAAATTTGCTATGTACACATTCTCAAACGTTTCGGATCATACTGAATCCATTTTTTAGAGAATCACATCAAACAATGGAAAAAGCAATGATACAATATTAAAAGTGCTATGAAGTAACAACTTCATTACAGAACTTTAAACTTTGATAGTGGAAGCTGCTTCATAGCTTCGTTATAGTTAGAGCATAGTTCCATACAGCGTCTTTGTTCATGCATTGATTAGATTGAGTTACAATTAATTTCATTATCTTTCCTCACAAAAAATTCTTTCCGTAGTTTATTGCGGTCATTTGATAACATATTTTTATATACATTTAAACATACGCTCTATTGTATAGTATATGTTTCGCAGTGTCACGAACAGGAACACAACACATATGATCTTTCCATGCGAGTGTTCTATATAAGGCACTAACCTGTCGACCCAAAGTCGAAGATGGACCGAATGTCTTATGTATAGTGCTTATAAGTAAAGTTGTTGTGTTGCTTGCCCGTTCGTAATACTCTGAAGCACGTTATCATCACCCGCATAAAAAGTTCTTGTACTATACATCTACTGCAGTACAGTAAATGTAGCCTATAATATACGGTGAATATGGGTATGTCATTAAAGCTAAGAGTGAATATATATCTTTTCATACTGTGATGTTCAGGCAGTCATTCCGATTTCTAATCCTGTGTGTTCTTTGTCGCGAACGCAGAGTGCAAGTCTTCCAGGTTACTAGTCCCACGGTCTCTGTCTCTCTTCTGCAAAAGCAGAAACAAAGATAACCTATAATGACAGGTTCAGGCATGCAGGCAAATTCGTGGTTTACTATCTCGATACTACCTCGATAACGCAACATTCATACACGTAAATTATGAAAGACAAGGTCAGGAGATTCATTAAGATGCACATTTCTTGACCTTGTCACAGGGTAATGCTGCATAATAAGTTTCTGCAGGTCGGTGCCCCCTGACCCTTTTCTTGCCAAGAGGTTCTTGCATGTTCGATGAAGCCTAGGCAGGTAGAATGTATACGGTTCAGACTCGGCCGGCCAGCGCAATGGCAAAAGAAGCACACTAAACAGAAGATCAATGTAATCATGTAAGGGACCAAGAAATAAGTCTTCACATGAAATTTGTTGCCTTACTTTGCTTTGGTCCCACGTACGGCTTAAATCGTGAAGATAAGAAACA